TTCTTTACCATTCCCGTAGAGCACTGCTGAAGCAAAGGTCAAGAATCCACATGCAGTCAAGCATTCACCTTCGCCACTTGGCTGAGGTCTGGCAAGATTAATTCTTTGTGTCGTGCCATCTCTCTATGTGCCAGGTTCATCTTTCCTACAATGGAGCCAAGCAAACAGGAGAAAAGTGTGTGCCTGAAAGTGTGTGTTTGTGTGTGTGTTTTTAAAAGACATTGGTGCAACCGTTTTAACAGGGCGACTCTGTTTGAATTAGATGTTCTAACCCCCCGCTTGCTAAATGGATTTCTGAAGTGGCTGTAGTTGGAGGCTTTCAATCGGATGCAACCTTGAGTCCTTTTTTATGTGAGCTCTGTAGGATTTAAGTGCCGGTATAACATGAGCACGACTGAATGCATGCTCCTCATTTTTTTAAATTGAAAAATCTCCAAAGGCTCTCCCCATTGTGCAGGCAATTAATGGAATGCTGGCAGCGAGGTTCAGGTGCTTAAAAGTTGTATTTTTTCTCTCTCTCGCGCTCTCTTTTTAATGACTAATAAAGGATAATCATCGTGGAAAAAAACATCATAATGCTGTAGGCTTCCTCTTTATGCACAATGATGTATAATGCATGCTTTGAAATGAAACGGCAGCGGCCTTCGAACCATTCCATCTCCAAACCTTAGTGTATTTGCTTTGCATGCCACAGTGAGGCTTTTGCATAACAATATTGAGTGTTCCCATTAACAATGCTTGCCTATTAATTTGATCTTTACATTTTTAAAGTTTGTCCATCAGGCCGCCAAACAATGGGTCCCCCAGCCGCTGTTTGGTATAAGTGATTAGAAAGTTGGCTAATTGCCTCTCTGAAGAGTTGTGCTGTTTCTTTTTAACCTCCTTGTTCTTCACCTGTGAACTTCCACCAGTTTTAACACTCAAAAACAGATGAATAAACCATTTTATTCATCAATAAAACCCTTTATTCCCTCGGTTTTGGAGATTATTTCCAAATATTTTCTAGGCAGCCGTTAGCATGTAGAGAGTATGTTGATATATGGGGCAAAATCTAAATAAATTGCCAGTCATGGTTAATTTTACATCATTGTGCATTTTGTGAAATCAGAATCCAACACTCTGATACTAGATTGAAATAATAATAATTGCTCAAATCCTTTTTGTACTCAGGTTAATGATAAAATCTGATTAAATGCCACAAACTTTGCCAGTGCCAAAAATAGCTTTGTCTCAGTTGCCCAGAACTAAACTACAGTACCAGTAATAACTCATGATCACCTACTAATGAACAATAGAAGGACAATCAGTGCTTATTGTATACCTGCATGCAGATAGATGTTTCTGGTGGCAGCGCTTATTCTTATGGTGTGCTCTGTGCAGTAATTAAGAACCACAACAGTGTTACGACAGCTGGTGTTGCTTTCACTTTGCGACTCTGTGTGTACATGTGGGTGATCTCGGCAAACTGTGGCCCTGGAGACACCTATCGTAGCGGGAGCTTCTACTGAAGCTTTTTAAAGCAGTGGTTCCCAACTGGTGGGTCGTGGTCCAAAAGTGGATTGAGGATCCATTCTGAATCGACCACAAGTGACTCGCAAATGTGTCAAGTTTGTAAAAAAAACACTTTATTTTTAAGTACAGTAAATTTCCAGCACAACGCCTTTATTTTGAAATGCCATTTTCTGCTGTGGAGTGAGTGACTAACCAACTCCTACGTGACAGAGACAAACAACAACCTCAACGATATAGCCAAACGCAGGTATGATGCTGATTGTATTAAACTGTCAGATACTGACCTAATGACTAAGGAGAAATCTGGACCCTGTGGCTGGACCAGTTGGGAACCACTGGTTTAGAGTATTTTGCCAGGTGTTTATGTGTCTCTCTGTCTGGCTATGGACAGATTTTTTCAACGTGCTAGCATCACAACCGTGCAAGACGCAGTCACAAAACTTCACAGCTGTGTACGAGATCAAAATCAAGGCCAAGCTCCAAGGTGGGTGTGGTCTAAGCAAGAGGCCAGAAGTTAGGGGGGTAGGACATACTGAAGGGGCCATTGCCCCCTTACCCACGCCCCAACTTTACACCCCTGGCTCAGAAGACATTACAGGTGTGCAGTTAAGATCGCTTTGAAGACCGACTTTGACGATGGGTGTGGTCCAAGCAAGGGTGCCAGAAGGAGAGGGGTAGGAAGTAGGGAATTCTTTAGTCTTTATTTGGATCCCCATTAGCTTCCACCTCAGCAGTTGCTAATCTTCCTGGAGTCCACAACAAAAATCAAATCATTACAAACACTAATATAAAAACATGTCAGTTATACAGACACCGACTGACACCTTGTCAGTCTAGACACAGTTACAAATTAAAACAGACTAAAAGGAAGGAGGGAAGGGGTCATCGGCCCTCTACCTTACACCTTGGTGGATCATTGTATTGCGACTTGAGTGATTCCATTTCTAGTGTTTAAATACATTTGCGAGAAATTCTTTTATTTTGAGGGAACATCTTGGGTCTCTTCTCCACCATGTCTGCTCCACTAAAGAACACGAAAATGGCCTAACTGCTGAATCCTGAGGTGAGAATAATTAATTGTAGCCTACATTCAACTGAATGGCCTAAAATGACAGAGTACACATAGGTGTGCAGAACCAGGTACTTGTTAATCACATTGTGTTAAAACTTGATTGCTTGTAAAAACAGAATCAAGTTTTAAATAAGAAGGAATTAAGATTGCATTTATCAGAAAAATGATGTGTTCAAATGTTTTAATCTAGTATGAAGTCACTGATTGGTGTGATAGTTAATCTTTGCTGATTAATCCACCAGCTTTGCCACCATGTGGCGCTGGGCGGGTGTTCATTTCATGTGGACTGAGGATGCCTTTCTCCGGCCTCTTGAGCCTCCGGTCCTGCCTGACACTGAACTGAATACCAAACTGGCTTATTGCAGTGTTCAGTTGCACCTTTTCTTGCAATCTTGGAACACTTCCAAAAGCTTTTGTTTTTTCTTGTGCCCTCAATCTTTTTCTCTTTGACCGTGCTTTGACAATGCAGGGAAACATACAAGCGCATCTCGGTAAACACGAGTGATGTGGTTCCAGAGTTTAAAAGCTTCACATAACACTGGCAGACACGACTTGGGGCTGTTTGTGTGACGGAAAGGAGAACTTGTTTAGAAACTGACAGCACTGCAGCAGTGTGTGCGTGTGTGTGAGAAAAAGCTGTGTGTATGTGTGTTTATGTTGCTTTTGGCAAGTTATTCATTTGTGTTTTTTTTCTCCCTTGCTCTCTGTGTGGTTATCTTTTGAGTTGGTCGGTTTGGAGCTGATGTCCACCTTCGGGGATGCGCATAGCATGCATTTCTGAGTATTTTCACCTGAGGCTGCACTTGTTAGAGTCTGTGGATAAATGTATATACATTATTTATACAAATTCAGGGCGAGTGAAAGCAGGTTTAACACATTTACAGACAGGAGGCCAGGCACTGCAAGCCAAGCTCCAAGTGAGGATTGCAATGCTGTGCGCCGGGGGTCGAGCTGGCCTCTTGCCTGGCTGTGACCAGCATCCTTAATGCAGCACGAGAAAATTATCATCAGCATCTCAGCAATCAGATAACCCCTCACATCATTTGCTTTATGGAGAAAAAAATGAGAATAACAGATTGTCAAAAGTTTGGTTTGTTGTGCATTTACATGAGATCATTTAAGAAACCTGTTTGCTATCATTGCTGGATTTTGGTCTTCTAAAAATCAAGAGAATTTAGAAAAGTTAAAAGCCTGCTGCATATTGGATATACAGAAACACTAACAGCAGTATCTACTGCACTGTAGTTCCTTTAGATCGAGTTTGCAAGGACCCTTACAATCCCAGGATTATTACACTAACAAAATAGGCAACTTTTAACACCTTGATTATTTTAATGGAGCAAAATGTACGTTTTACTTTCTATATGTATGTAGTGGGAATGAAATTAAACAGTAGTAGACATTAATGTGTCTGGGTAGTTGCAGGTTGGATCATTCAAAGAAAGATGGCTATGTGGAGCGGCAGTTTAACATCTAATTAGACTTAATTTCTTATGTAATATAAAATACAAGTAATGAAAATGCTTTTTTGTTTGTGAGCAAATGACTCCATGTGTTTCTCACAAACTGTACCTTTTAAAAAAGTGAAGGTCTTTAGATCATTCATTAACCTCACGCCAAAAACATTACTTTTTAATAGCAGAAGTGTGATTCAGTACACAACGGAGCTCTAATTTGTATTAACGCCAAAGTTTGTGCTGTTGAAGGTTGTGGGACGACTGGAGTCAAAAGTTGAGTGAGTGAACAGAGCTGCCATTTAAATTTTAATTACTTTTGATATAAAATCATTTTCAAAATTAGGCTTAATGACTTCAACTGTCTTTCAATCAGCAGTGATTGAGGGTTTGGTTTTAAAACTTTATATATTATTGTTGGAAATATTTGGCAATTTAATTAATTCATGTTTTGAAAAGACTTTTTTTTAGTTATGTATTTTAACTGAGGCAGTTTGATGGCAAGACTGAAACACAGTATAAAAACTGTATTCAGTCATGAGAGTCAAAGGGTCAGTGTTGTGTACAGTAAAACAGGCATTACCCTAATGGCACAGTGATTAGAGAGAAAAAAATCTCATTAAATCATGAAGGAAATTTAAAACAAGGTGAAAACAATATAAAACAGGACACTGTGTTTAAATAGGAAGTGTCATTTAACCTATTACAAGGGCAGTTTTTTTAAAGAGGGAGGTTTAGACTAACAATGTGCTTCGATAAAACCCATAAAGGCACGATGATTAAAAATATTGTATTCTCTAATGTAAATTTCTCCTAACATGAAGTGGAAACGTTTCTCCCATTTCCCAAATCTATCAGTGTATTTTATAACTTCAGTCTTGTGGTATTACACTGTAAATATTGTTTCCCTGATTTGACTTGACACTCCCCACTTACTGTACCACTCCCCGTCTCCCATCCAGGAGCCTCCTGACTCAGAGATGGATGCCTTGCCGGCTGGTTGTAGTCTTCACGTTCCCATGGAGCTGGAGTTCACAGCTTCCTGTTTCCCCCGCAGCCCTGCACCTGAGAAAAGCTACGGCCTCGTCTACGTTGACTGACCTGGCTGGCGACTGTGATTGTAGTTTCATATTGTGATTCGGTTTTTAATCAGTCAGTGAAATGTTTTCTTTGTGTTATAGCTCCTTTTTCCTTAAAGGGACAGTTCACCCCAAATCAAAAATGCATATTTTTCCTCTTACCTTTAGTGCTATTTATCAGACTAGATTGTTTTGGTGTGAGGTGCCAAGTGTTGGAGATATCGGCTGTAGAGATGTCTCCCTTCTCTTGAATATAATGGAACTAGATGGCACTTGACTTGTGGTGCTCCAAGCCCCACAAAAATACAATACAGTTTAATTTAGTAACTATTTTCATTTACCAAAGTACAACCACTAACCATACCACCACTCAGAAGGAAGTGCGTATCTTTTGCTAGCTTATCTAGCACCACTGAGCTAGCTAACTTTACAGCTCAGCAGAGGAGGATGCCAATAATGTTTACATCTTGCACTGTCAGGAGCACGAGCCTCTCGTCCATGAGTAGATGCACACTTCCTGCGCAGTTGGCAAGTGTAGTTTGGTAGAAAGAAACTAATTCCTGCATGAAACTGAGACATTGCTGTTGAGTTTCTCAAATATATTTTTTTGGCGCCTTGAGCACCACAAGCTGAGTGCCATCCAGTTCCATTATGTTTTAGAGGCGGCAGACATCTCTACGGCTGATATCTCCAACACTCAGCAACTCACACCAAAACAGTCTACACTGATAAATAGCCCTTAAAGTAAAGGGGAAAAATATGTTTTGTTGTCTTTTGGAATTTTGGGGTGAACTGTCCCTGTTACTCTTCAATTTTCTGTCACCTATGATCACTATAGAGACGCAGTAATATTTGATACATCTGTGTTTCTGTGTTATTTTAAGATGCGCTGCATAATAATGTAAGCTAAATGCCTCAATTAGAATTTTGATCTCAACTTCATTTCCAAGTTTTCAATTGAAGTTAATTGGTTTTTTTTTTGTATTCGGTATGTTTGTAAGTCTTTCATGGCACTTGCTGTACATTTGCTTGTGCAAGTGTTACTCTATATTGTGCAGTAAAATTTGCAGTGTGTTACATTATCTGAGCAAATGGGGTGTATTTGTGACCCATTACAGTGAGACTTCAGGTGGACAGTTCTCTCCCCTGGTTTCCCGTCACTCCACTTTCAAACTACCAAATAAAGGCCAGGGAAAAAAAGTAATGTAACCCGACAGTGTTAGTGTGTGCAGAAAGCGAGAATCTGGTGTTATAAGCATAATAATTATTTATTGAAATATGAGGAAAAATTCAATTAGCCTCAGAGAGACACTCCCCAAAACAGGGGTAGTGAAAGGGGCAATCAGAATGTCAGCAGGGGGCCAAAAGTCATAGACAAGCAGGAGGGAAAAAGCATTTTGATCCACGGTGTTTGATCCATGTGCTGAGAGCTTACATGAGCATGTGAATGCACAAAGGTCGTCATTGTTAAAGTCCTTGTTAAAGCATTTGTTCTGCATGCATACCTTTAAGCTACAGTGTGGTTTGTTGTCAAGCAGACAGCTGAAGACCATTCCTCTTTAACTTCTGACAGCTGATGCCACAGAAAACTGTTTCTCCAAACTTTTACTTAACTTTATTTCCAATCTAGCTCCTGTTGTTGTTGATCGAGCAGGACTGCAGCCATGCAGAAAAAAAAGGGGACTTCTGCAATGACCACGTTAATGTGCATGACTCTATGGCCTGCATGTGGTATAGAGTTTGACTGCGTGTTCTAGGAAGTCCAAGGCAGCTGCAGAACCTAAACACATAATCTGTGGGTGATAAAAGATTGTCTGATCAATAGACGCAATGAATGAGTGTCAGTAAATGGAGCTCAGGACCAAGAACTGCTTAACGACATGGGGGCTTAAGTGAATTTTCTGTACATTAAACATGCCATTGTTTAAAACTACTGATCGTTCAATGACTTCATTGACATAATGTCGACAGGTAAACAAATAAACACCAAAGGTTGTTGTGGGAGGCAAGTGTTGGGACATTTTGGATAAAAACAGTAACAACAACTACAGTACATGTGGGGAAACTCCACAGAAATAATTTAGGATGTCATTTTTCAAGAAAAATAATAAAAAAACAGGCCAGGTTTTGTTCATTTTGACACAATACTGGAAGTCACAGCTCACGGGGCAGCGGAGGGGAGATGCAGTCTTTGGTATAAGAGCAAACTGGAAAGAACAATGATGCAGGTTGAAAAGAAAAACCGATGTGGCACAAACATCTTTCACACCTGCTCGCTTAAATACAGTACTCTTTTCAATGCACTGACTTGCATGAACATTTAAAAAACCGAAACATTACGGTGATTTCTTTTCCCCTTTTTGAAAAGCCCATTATCTTGCTCCAGACCTGCATCACTGAACTACTAATGGAAACAAAACAAGAACATGCTACAGTAAACAAATTTATTCTGGCGCGGACACCTCACGTCATGTAACACAAAGATGGAAACCCAGAGACGCAATAAATTATCTTCATTATTAAGCGTAACCAGTGACATACTGTACATCAAAAAGGTAAAAGCACTGTAAATAAAAAAAGGAAAAAAAAAATAAAGTCTACAAAAAAGGTTGAAAGTGAAACGGAACCCTTATACAGCAATGCTTAAGAAACAAATGTTTGAATGCCAGCAGACACAGATAGAAATTAATATTTAAGTGTGATTCCTTTTTGATTTTAGTGTCTCACGACATAATTTAAGTACTGTTCAAGAAAACAAATAAAAAATAAAACACTGTACACACACCAAAGAAAGCAAACCAGAGGGATCTTTTTTTTTTTTCATTTCGTTGATTTCATTTTTTAAGAAATCATTGCTTTGCAATTTATGCTTCATCACAGTTCTCTCCCATATGACCACATGAATGTAAACACCTGTTGAATTATTCTTTTTTAAATTTTTTACAACATTAATACTTTATATATATATTTGTACATATTTTCATTCACATCTGCACGGTTAGCTAGCATGGTAATGAAATAAGGCAAGACTCACATAACTGTGACATCACAAATCTTTTTTTTTTTTTTCTCTCTCTCTCTTAATACTGATTATTAAGGTTTTTTTTTGTAATTTCCTTCTTCTGTTCTGCAGCAGGCTTTGGTCTTTCCGGACAAAGGCAGGGTCGATCCTTCTCCGTCTTCAGAATCACACTTTGTTTTGTTCCAGTTGTAATGAGATAATAAAAAGGGAGGGTGCTTTTTTTGCAGGAAAAAAGGGCTATAAATACAATTGTTTCATCTGACATTATTAATTGAATTTATTTAACACTGGTCTTTCTGAGGTACATAGTTTAAGATGATTGGGGGAGAGGTGGAATAAGAAAGGGGAACCACAAGGTGACCATGAGGAGCAAATGACTTCTGTTACAAGAGAAAAAAAAACATTGTATTTTTCTTCTTATTGGCCTATTTATCATTTTGTTCATTAAAGAATGTTCTTTCTTATTTTATTGTTTATTTTTGAAACATCAGTTCTCCCTCCTCAGTCAGATCGAGCTGCCATGGCAGGCGTCTTATGCGAGTCCAAAAAACGGATGTGACAGTAGGTAGGAGTCTCTGGCCTGGTTGACTGCTTGTCCGTTTTTCTTTACAGTACCACCGACAGCTAAAAGCCGGTTTCAGTGAGAGAGCACACCGGAGCATCGTCGACCAAAATCAGCCACGGCTCTAGTCGTGTCACAAAGCTGTGAAAGATGGGCGGTGTTACTCAGCTTCCTTCCTCAGCACAAAAAGCCTCTCACAATGTCACCAGTGCTAAAACACTTGAGGGTTTTTTAATTCTATAAGCTGCAGCCTGCCAGATGTGATCATCTGTGCTCATGCAGACGATTAGATCCCATTTCGTGCCAAAGCAGTTTGTTTCAAGTCTTTTTTCCTTACATTGTGTCTTTGTCTGCAGGGATGAGGAGATGGATCTTCAGTCTGACTTGTTTTTTTTTTTTTTTAATAAAGGGATCCATATGCTTGTTTGTGTGTTCACATGATGTCTCTGTGCATGTGTCTTTGTCCAAATCTGTACTCCAAGTTGTAACTTGAAGATCAAAATGAGCTTAATATAAACAAGACTTGCTAACTGTCTCTGCTTTCCATCCTCCAGGTCATCGCTCAGTCATAACTGAGCTGAAAGGTTCAGAAATTAGGAGTTTATGGGCTGCAGCAACACTCTCAGGATGTCTGCACAGCTGCATTATGGGCAGTGCAGTCCCCCTTCTAAGCTCTCTTAGCGTGAAGCATCTCGATGAGCAGGTTGTTGCAGGGCACGTCACCGTTCAGGTGTTTGTAGTAAAGGTATTCTTCGGCCTGCAGGCTGATAGCGCGGATCTCTGGCAGCCGGAGGAGCAGCTGGCCGAACTTATCTGTTTGCTGTGGGTAGTTACACATGACGTAGTCTAGCAGTGCTGCGTTGACCTGCTCCTGGACGCTTTCTACCAGGTGGAAGTTCTCCAGGTTCTTCACGTCTACAGGAGGAAGCAAAATAAAAGGTTAGATAAAGATAACACAAAAGCAGTATATAAGCAGGAGTATAAGGACAAAGCAATGACAAATAATTATACTGTAAAGCCTAAACACAGACATAATGGCAGATAATTACAAGCCCTCATGTGTCACACAACAGCTGAATAAGTTTCTAAGGACAACATTTGTCCACAGCAATAGAAATTAATTAGTGTGATTAGAGTGTGTCCACATCCAGTCCTTTATTTAGGCCAGACTTGCTAACTTTTGAATATCAGCCACCAAAAGGGAATCTGTTATGCTCATTTTTAGGCTTATACTTGTATTTTGGGACTCTATTAGAACATGTTTACATGCTTTAATGGGTAACATTTTACTTGAAGGTATCTACATAAGGGTGACCTGACACTGTCATAACTATGACATGACACGGTCATGAACATTATGTACATGTCATAAACCTTTATGCCTGCTGTCATTAAGTGTCATTTGGTTTTTGTAATGACAAGTTGACATTGTTTGGGTTGTCTTGATTATCACAACTTGACATTAATTAAAGTGACATTACCAGAAGTTGTCTTTGTCATAACAAGTTGACATTAGATTTGTTTGGGATGTCCTTATAATGACAACTTGACATTAACCAGGGTGACATTACCAGAAGATGTCTTTGTATCAATCATTATGTCAACTTGTCATAAACACAAAAAGAGGTGCATTTCTCATTAATGTCAAGTTGTTATGACAAAGACATCTTATATATATACAAATTTGTATTCTCAAAAGTGCTACAGCTAAAAATTTTTGGTTATGACTCATTTATTTATTTATTTTTCAAATTTTAAAAAGGACTTCAGAATGCACCGCATGATGAAATATCCGTCCCTCCTCTCCTTTTTTCGTCTGAATTGTCTCCTGAGAGTGCAATGTAGAGGTAATCAGGTAAAGGCAAAAAAAAAAAAAGGTTCTCTCGAGAGATTAATTCCCCGAGGAGTTGATGAATTATGTAGGGCAGAGTTACAGTCATATTAGCACCAGAGCTGCTCCCTAACCTAACGCCTTCACCATCATTTTATATCATAACAACACAGAATGTGTCGTAATTATTAGTGTAAAAAATATAAGATAGAGACAAATAGAGATTGTTTTTTTTTTAAGCATCAGTCTTGTAGAAAAAAAAAAAAACTGTAGGTAAAAATAAAAATGCAGAAATTCATCTTGGTGGGAAGTCTTTTTTTTCACGATTAATTCCTTGTGCAAAATACATCTTGCATCCCTCCAAAATCCTACCTTTACGCGCAGCTATAAGCACTTTTCCTTGACAATAATAAGCTCACTGGGGGTTTGAGCAGATTATTGCAAGACAAGACAAAAATTAGCTAAATGGATAATGGTGGACCAGAGCGCTGTGTGTACTTGTCATGATTATGAAGCGCAGGGCTGCAGAATATTTAATCACATAGTAGCTCTGTGTGTGTGTGTGTGTGTGTGTGTGTGATCTTTTATTAATCTGTTTGACCCCAGGTCGTGTGTGCTCACAGTGGGCTAATGTGGAATGACAGAGTCCCTGTGTCTAGTTGACACCTCCGGACCAACACACACCAGCGCACACTATAATATACCATCTTTCACGCCAATTCTCCGCCTCTCTCTCACACATACAGACACTAATCCATGGAAATACACATAATATTTCTCATACAGTACCCCCTTCCCACACACACACACACACCATCCACCCACCCAGAGCATTAGGAGGAAGGAGGGGGAGATAAATCAGCAGCTAATGAGGTCTAGAGAATGAGAAGCAGGTCCTTCAAGGCACTTCCATCTATGATGCACTCTACCATGCTATTACAATCTCTATGTGTGTATGTGTGTGTGTTTGTCTCCTCTTGTGTTGCCTGCCTATGTGTGAGCTGGTGTGTAGCGTGTGCGTGCTCACCCTGACCTCTGGGTGACACGGCGGGGGGCTAAATAAGGCCAAAAGGAGGTCAGGAAAAGGGGGAGGGGGTGCGGCCCATGACAAAGGAGGCTCCAAACAAACATGACATGTGCTTTTTCCTGCTGCCACTCAGCTGTCTGACCCCCTATCAGACTCCTGAACCGGCTTTCACGCCACCAACACCTCCAAGAAGCATTGATATAGCCTTACATAAGCTACCCCAGTCGAGTGTGGGCTTTAGGCTTTGACATGCAGGCGTCCCACGCAGGTCAACGGGAAAAATAATAGACTTGTTTTCATCTGCGCGTCGAGCAAATGTAGCTAAAAGTTTCTGAGTTGCTCAGAGAGTCTTTTAAAAATGTGGAGAACTTTTTTTGTATTGCTATTGAGGGCTGGAGCCAGGATTTCAGAGAGTCCACTTCCCCCTCCCCTGTAATTTCAAATTTTATTCAGATTTATCATAGTGTACTTATTAAAAGTATACAATGAAGAGACTCATGCAGAATCATATATGACCCAGGTGTGATGGTGTATGTTTCTGCACAGACTTTTTGTATTTTCATCTTATTGTCTGGGTTTGGGACATTTATAGGTGTGGCTCCCACGGTGCTCAGGTGAGGTCATGGCTTTATAAACAGGTAGCGACCAGGTTACCAACAATCCTCACGGTATACCTTTAAGTTTCCATAAATGCTGCATGGTAAATCAAGTCCAAACCTGCTGGAATCATTATATAAAATATCCATTGTGTGTACGTTTTTAATTGTCAAACATTAAACTCCTTGCAGGTTGTTTAAACCCCCACATTCCCCTAAAATATATATACATGACATCAGAGGAAGCTACAGCCCCGGTGCTGACTCATAATTACTTTCTGGATTATATTTTCTGTTGATAATATCATAGTATCGTAGTTCATCAGAGATTGAAGGAAAAAAAATATTCAAATTCAAAGCCAATCCAAAAGTCTACAAATTGATTTCAGGCATGGGAAATGATTTAATCTGTAAAATGTGTACTACAAGAAAGGCTCAGTGTTCTCTGCAGTACAGACACGGTCGATAACAAACATCTCACGCTGCTTAATAATCAATTCTGCAATGTCAGTGCCTCTTCCGAGTTTGATTTAGTTAATTTTGCAGCAACATGACAAGGTGAGCCCGGATCACAGCAAAAATATGTGAGGTGTTGCCATGGTTTCTCAGAAAGATTTTTGTCTGTTTGTGCGTGTGTCTGCGTGAGTGTGTACGCATGTGGAGGGGAGTTTGATGGTTGTATGTGTGGATGTTGGGGAGGGCAGGGGGAGATACTACAGAGAATTAGTACCCAATGTCTCTGTCAAGCTAATTAGTGGAAAGTGAGGCAAAAAGACAGCATTTTAATTGCTAATTATTACCAGAGCCCCTTTTGAAAAAATAATGAATGAGGGCTTCCAAAAAAGAAAAGGCACAAATGACAATAGTTTGATATCTGCTCCCGTTTGCAAAACCAGACCCTAAAAAAGAAAAAATACTCAGATTGATGAGAAAATCTTAATTTTGTTGCTAATCAAATCAGACAAATGGATTGATTCTGATTTACTGATCATTCAAAAGCAGAAGAGGGATGATGAAGGAGAGGAATGGGGAAGAGGTGGGGGAGAAAATAATAAAATAAACAAGTGATCAGTGATTCCCAGACAGTGTCAGGTTGGAGCATTAAGTGTGCTAAGCACTCTCTCCTTTTCCTTCAGTGCCCCCCCACTCTTTTCTGTTTCGCTCTCCATCTCATTGTTCAGTCACTGTGGGACTAATTATCAACTTTTTTTTCACATAAAACAGCCACAGTTCGTTGCAGCGCTGCGTCTGAATACTCAAATGGAAACCCCGAGGTCCCGCGGAATACATTGTTTCATTTGACGGGCGATCATGCTGAAGCCAGCGACCTAATGCAAAAGCACACACACACACACACACAAACACACACACACACACACACACACACACTTACACATTCAATCTCTCTTTCACAGAGCCCCTGAAATCACTGCTGTGCTTTTTAATTAGACTAGATCAGCTCTGTGCTGTGAATGTGTATGTGTGTTTGTGTGTGTGTGTGTGTCCGCATGTGCTTTTACACTCTTTCGTCGCCCCTTGAAATCCACCTGCTTCAGGGACACAAACACACACATACACACACACACACACACACACACACACACGTGCACACACAGTATTTAGACACACTGCACATTCACTCATGCAAATACTTGCTCCATTACTTCACTCTGATCTCAATGATGCCTCACAGACTGGACACTAACAAAAACTGATCAGAAAAAAACATCACTCGGTGTTAAAGTTCACTGTTCTCTGCAAAAGCAAACAGGCGTCACTTTGCTTATGGCTTTGAGAAGCTAAGGTGGTAGAAAAACACTGCACTTACAGTAAGGCAGCCTTATAATGCATGTAATTCTATATATCCATGGTACAGGCTGAAACGTAAAGTTGTGGTATGAGTTAGGAATACACCTGAGATGTCAAGATAAAGCTTTAAATGCCCTCCACACCTTTCCGTCATGCTATTTCCACATTACATTATCACCTACTTCCAGGCAAGTCCTCTTCATATAATACACTGATATAAGGACAACAGTTATACATTGCAAAATAACACCATGGTCTGTTACAATACACTTTTAGTGTCCCAATCAATAAACCTCTCAGTCACATGCCGCCAGCTCACCGTGCCTTTCAAACTTCACAACATGTGTTTCCTGCCGGGTCCAAAAACAACACATAAAACTCCGGGTCATAAACGGTTATTGAGTCAAGTGCTGTCAGTAAAGTTGCCCAATTAAACGTGAGTGGAAGACAAAACAGTCACTTCCTGTATAGGCGGGAATTAGAGGCTCCTGGTCTTCCAATAGGGGCTTTCACAAGTGTTTATAAGAGCCTATCAAAGCTGAAGCACCTTTTACTACAGCAGCGGTGCTTCAGAGAGCGTGGAGTTGAACCCATGTCCAGGCCAAGTCCTCTTTATTGCACCTTCCTGGATTGTTATCAAGTGAACATCGTCGACTGCTACTTTATTCATTATTAATCTGCCCTGCAGCTCGGCTCCAATCAGAGACAGGGGCGGTGAGAGAAGAGAACCCAATAACCTTTGACTCGGAGTGGGTTGAGGGGACAAAGTGAAGACTGAGGACAATAAGCAACATGTCGATCTGCGTGTTCACTGCGAGAATGTGGCTGTGTGTTTGTGTATGAGCATTTGTGTTAAAAAACAGGGCAGCAGGGGCAATCAAAGCAAACAAGGTTCACGGGGCAAGGGGCAATGGCCGCATGGTTAACAGTATCACTTAAATAGGCTATTATCTGAGTTACAGTGCACTGCCCTGATGCGTAAGCTGCGCTTTGTATCAGAGAAAAGCAACCTCCTTTACCCTCACACCACAATAAAGTCATAATGTACACAAACACACACACTACAGCTACACACACAGACTCAACACAGCTCCCATCAATACTCCACTGACAGCATTTCACATGTAAGTGTGTGTATGTGTGTGTGTTTTCCTCTACAGGAGGCTCAGCTTCCCTCATCTATCTATGCTTGCCAGCAAACAAGTTTCCCTTCTCCCCGGAGCTCTCAGCTTCCTTGTTTTCCTCCAAGTCCCATTTGGGGAATTCCCTTTCTCAGATACGAGGCCTCCACGTTAGAGACGGGTAGAGATACGGGGGTGGGGGGTAAACTGGAGTTGTATGCTCCTTAACATTTAATGGGGGGTTCTTTGAGACTTGATACACCAAAGGCTAAAAGGATAACTGGCATCATACAGTAACTATCCTATCACAGGGTAGAAGAGGAGCACGTTTCAGCTGAGGTTTGATTTCTTATAATGATGTCTTGAACTACAGACAAACACTGCTACATGTTGCAAGACTGTTTGGGGGTTAAGGCAGGGATATACTCACAAAACACTGCAGTAGTGCATGTGACTGGGCAAAAATTGTTTATTATGGCTTTTTTGAATTGGACAGTGAGAAAGGTGTAGAGGTTTCAGGTGCTGTTTGACCAGCCAACAAGCACCTTGGTTGAAGCATAGTGATTTATTGGTGTGCCTATGCAAGTGGACTACAACATTGTTCGCATTTATACTGCGTTGGTGTGTCTGTCTCGTTCTGCAATTACGCCCCCAAAACACTAGTTGGTGGGGTGGTTTGATTGACTCCAAACACACATAAAACATGGCTTTATAGCAACAATATTAAACACAAGTAAAAAAAAAAAAAAATCAGCATTATTATAACTCGAAAGGTTCACAAACACACTAATTGTCGTTTACTAGACATGTTTTCACTAACATTATTAACATAACCCTATGACAACTTACATTGCAAAAATTAGCCTTGTGGCTAGCAGACTTTCCTCTACTCATATGAGGCCAGGATGAATTACGTGCAAGACTTAAAATGCTTTTTTTTTTGGAGGCTTTATTGTTTTAAAAATTCATTGTTTCTTATCTGTGAAATTAAAGTAAATACAAGCTTTGTTTCCACCATGGGAAATGGCCTTCAGCTTACAATAATACACAGGAGGTATGTGCCTACGTGACCTGTAGTTACATGTTTTTCAGGGGTGCACGCAATGATGGGTTGAGGCTTGGATTAATGGAAGTCATCTCTTCCTTCCTTTTAATTATTTTTGGAATTCTTGTTTTCATGTGACAGGAGTTTATTTCATTTTTTTATAATATTCTACAGCATTCTATATATCTGCAAATAAAACATACCCAACTCATGCCCCTTGGTGAACAGTTTTATCTGAGCCTATAGAGAACCTGTTGGCCGCATCTAATTTCAAATTGTCTTTTCTTGTGCATCTAATGAAGTGAAAGGATCTCAGGAAGCATCCTTTACACTCATTAGCTTTTTACTCATTTAACAAAGGCCTCATTAAGCCCTGAACAGTGACCCTTCATCTTGAAAACTGACCCTTTATTTCACCAGCACAGAGCAATATACCATAGCTACATGCCCTCAAGCT